GAGGGAGTTGGCATAAAAGGTTTACAGCAACTTCATCATCATCATCATTGCCTTTCTCTCCCTGAGTCAGGATATAGGCCACAAACAAACACTGTCCTCCTTGCCCTATCCTAGGCTAGCCTCTTGATGTTATTCCAAGTCTTCCCCTTGATTTTTCTGTACAGAAACTTCACTATGATGGTGGAATGATACAGGTGTACTATTAACCCTTTTCTTTCTCTCCACTCAGAGTTGGCCTAGCCCTGGACGGGTGGATGCATCCGGTGGATTCCTGGGTTTACTCCTCGACCAGACAGCCCGTCATGTTCCTCAACATGGAATCTTTCCAGTGGGAGAAGAATGTGGCAAGGATGATAAAATTCCAAGAGTCGAACCCAGAGGCTGACAGACCAATGCTCACCCTCATGTAGGTTGACTTTACTTTTACTTTTTACTTTTTACTTTTTCCTGTTTTATGCTTTGCTTTATCAGTGATGACAACAACCTCTATAATCAACATCAGCTTTCTTCCTTTTTTTTTTCTTCAACAAATAGGGTTTTGAAAAGATACAACCATGCATCAACCTATCAAATTAGGTCAGACTTTTTTGGGGGGGTTCCAAATTATGATATTCACAATCGTAATTAATAATAATAAATAGCATTTGTATAGCACATATCCCCACTTGACAGCAAGCTCTATGCCCTTTACACTTTAATATTACCCCAGCAGACCATAGAACACCCTGAAACATTCTCACTGCCTCGGTAAGCATACAGTGCAATTACACTAAAAAGAACTCTTTATATAAAATTTGAACAATTCAGAAATTTTGGAGGAATACATCAGTCAGAAGTAAAAGACCTAGGCTTCTGATCTGTTAGAAAGAAAGATACAGAAGGTCATTTTTACCATCATCCATCAAAATTCTTTCGTCTTAACCATCTTGTTATAAGTATCCAATGACCTTAGAGCATGCATCAGAATAACATTGAGTATGTTTCTAGCTAAAGATTATTATTGTTTTTATTGCTGCTCATTTATATTATGCCTGCATGTGTGTGCATGTTTGTGTGTGTGTGTGTGTGTGTGTGTGTGTGTATGTGTATGTGTGTGTGTGGGTGTGTGCATGTGTGTGTGTGTGTGTGTGTGTGTG